TATTTGTAGAAGCAAGTTCTTTTGTTAGCTTGCTTCTTACTGCTAAATCAAGGAGTTGAACAACTTGTTCATTTAAAAATTCGAGCCAGGGTAGCTTTTTGGCTTGGGAAGGATTGATGTTCCTCTATTAAACTGTAGCTTTTGAGCCAAAAACCTAGGTGCTATACTAACATTATCTTCACTAAACAGCTGAGGTAAGCTTCCAAACACCGAGTTCCCAGAACACATTTGATATTACATGTCACATGTTTTTCCCCGTAAAACTGATCAACAATTCCACACTAACGTCAATTTTTACACCTCTTACCTGTTCCGACTCTTCATCACTGATATTAGTTCTGCCCAGCATAGTAGCTTTGACGGTAGAGAGAATTTTCAGTTGTGTACTGATGGTTGGGATTCGCTCACAGACCTAAGGAATGGGGATAAAAAACACTTCACATTATAAACGGCATCGATACATTATTTATTGTTTTTTCAGATAAACTTTTTGATTTTGTTTTACTATTAGATAAGGAATAAGCATAGAGGGGATCTTATAACCTTCAAGACTTTCTAACAAATATTGGTAGGATACTTGAATCTTAGTTTATTTGCTTTGGGAATTTTTGAGAAGGAGCCAACATTTTTCCTTTCCTCCAGATATTCCTTAAGGGTCTGCTGGTGAGGAATGGGAGGATGTGTATTTGGCTGAGACTGAAAAACTAAGGAATGTTGTATTTCTGCTACTATTCTTTGATACAGAGGAATGAGTAGATAAAAAGCAACACAGGCTTAGAACAAGACCAGTGTTCATAGCACAGTATTTTTCAAAGACTCTTTGGACACTAGCATCTTCCACTCACCTGTAAACAAATCCTGACTTTACAGAATATATATGGCCATGGGATCTAAAAACAGACGTAGAACTTGAGAAAACTTTTCAAGCCAAGGGAAGATACACATGATTTACTGCCACAACTCCTGTGCTCACTCACACTAAGAGAGGAACAGAGAAAAAAAGTGTTCGAGGCATTTACAAGTTAACTCATTACCTGCAAGAGATTTGTTCTAATGCGCTTGTCAGTGCACTGCTTTGCCACCTCTTTGGCTAATCGAGTGACTTCATCTGATGCCTTAGCAATATCCTTTGCACACTGAATAAGGGCACGCTTGTTTCCACTACCTCCTCTCACCAGGCGCGACATCTCTGCCATTAGCAGCGCCATTCGTTTGGCAGCAGCAATGATGTCATTACCCTGAAGAGAACAACACGAGTTAGTGCTCATGCCAGGACAGAAGCTCCACAGAAGTCACAACTGCATGGCAGTCTACATTTTGGCAGCAACCCTTTCAAGAAGTTAAGGATGGAAGAACCACTTGTGAACAGAGAAGAGGTTTCTTCAAGGAACAGGGAAGATCTGTACTAATTATGTTTCTGACATTTTTCTTCCTAACACTCAGGAAAAAAGTTCGCTTCAAGACTGGAAAAGAACTGGTAAAGAAAAATGTTAGTTTGTCCATGGAATGAGAGTTACTGCTCTGCTGCCTAGGTTTTAAGATAAAGCACGTTATTAGCATTTGAAATTCCAGATTTCCCAAAAAAAGGCTTCTTGTAAATTAGAAAAAGTGTGCTAAATAGCTTGTTAAACCAAATAGCACTAATTAAGTGAAATAGTGTAGTCATAACAGTTGAGCATAAAATTTTCAGTGGCATCTGAAACTGAAGTTGTTAAAGCCTCAGCTAGGCTGCTATAATGCTCAAGGATAAATGGAACAGAATCTGTAACATACAAAACTTTTGTCACAGGTAATGTGGAAGTGAGAGGCAACTATTACTTTTTTTTTTTTTTAAGGTATTCCTTGAAAATAAATCTTCCTTTTTGACAAAATCTCCCCCTTTAAAATAAAGCTTCCAGGAGAGAAGAACGTGATAGTTCTAGTGATATTTCTTACATTAAAATAATCTAGTGATATTTCTTATGTTAAAATCCAGATTTCTTGTACATCAAAATTGCAGTCACAGAAATACTTCTGAGAAATATTTGAAACATGGGAATTAAGTATGACCAAGGCAAAACCATTTCTTATACACTGTTCCAGAGAGAAACCCAGTGCAAGAAAAAGCAGACCTAGATGATCAATTGTTATTAGTCTGTTAGTGTACTTAAATTCACCTTTGTAGAAAGTTGTTAGACAAAAGTGATCTATTTGGTGCCAGGAAGCATTCCTTCTGTGTGAATGAAGTATTAGCAGAGTGAGTTTAAGTATTAGCACACTTTTTCCTCGGTATAATTCCACACTTAATGAATGATGAAGTTTGGAGCAAAGAGTACACGGCGAGAACCCAACTTTGCCAATGTATTCTCTGCCCCTGTGCACATACTTCCATGACTCACTACTAGCAAATTCAAGAAGATATCCCAGATGTTTTACACATACAGGTGGCAAAAAACCGAACTACTCATTACCATGACCTAATAGCTAAACAGTTTGCTAGTATAACCAGTTAGTATGCAAATGACAGAACACAAAGCTTTTCCACATTTTCACGTAGGAGGATCAAGAAATTAGGACCAGTGTCATTTACGAAGCCTTCTAACAAGTTATCCAAGCATCAGAATCTGAAAAGGACAAGAACATTTTTAAAGCCCTTTTTATTAAAATAATTTAGTATATCTATGTAAATATACACACACACATAGGTATACATACACAACCCCCCCTAGCCTTTGTTTGTTATGGGACACCAACCTTATTTTTTGCAGCATGCTATAAAAAGTGACTAGTCTTGCAAACATTTGTGCTTAGACAGAAGAGACAGGCTACTTGTGAATGTATGAACCTCATGTTAGGTTTCCCACTGGTTTCATGTAAACACATCTCAATTCAGCAGCTAACAGCATTCAGTGCAGCTTCTTTATAAAAAGAATTCTCTCAAGACCAGCATTTGCAACACAGCCAGGTCCAAGCCAGCAGACAGTCAGTCCTCTTCGATAAACACTGCCATAACAAAGCCATTCCTTGTTGGAAGGTATTTTAATTGACGGCATCAATGGAGGCAAAGCACAATAGACACGTTAAATGACTTCTTGAATGCTGTATATTCTGTCGTATCTGGAAGTCATTAAGAAACCATTAACCATGGCTTCCCAGGTAGCCCAAATGAATGGAAAAGAGAACAGAGGGGGAGGGAAGGCAACCCCTATTACAATTTGAAAACTGCCATAACAAAGAAGAACAGGCAGATGCAAAGGGAGAGGAAGCCTTTGAATATTAATCAAGTGACCCAAATCAAGCTTCAATCCAGCACTGACAAACAGATCTAGCAAACTTGTGAAGCCACTCTCAGTCCTTAAAATGAAGTGCAGGCACGCTTATTCATTCAGAACGGTGGGGCCCAGCAGGGATCAAGAGTGATGCAAATGTGTCAGCGTTCCAAATGGCTGGATGCACACGGATCAGTCCCCGGGGAGACTCAGGAGTACCTTACTAGACCACTTGGTTGCTTCCCGATGTAGAGACTGAGCAGCAGCCAGAATGGGCTGGTTAACGGGCTGATTGCTTGGCATTAACAGCAGCTCAGGCTCGTAATCATCTTCAATGTCAGAGGGGAGAGTGAATTCAACATCTGCATCATCCTCCTCATCTATATCTACACCAGCCTCAGCCGCTTCATTAATCACAGTCCCATCAGGCTTTGCAGGTGGCAGCAAGGGTGGAGAAACAGGGGACAGTTAGTACAAGAAGCAGAATTTGGTAGAAGAGCATGAACTGAGCCGTTTTAGTGACCAAAACATCCTCTTGGTCTCTCAGGATCTGACAAGACAGCTCTAGCATCAGGTCAGAGGGAGGAGGGGAAGGAATACAAGATTAGCAGAAGGAAACAAACATTTCACCTGTGAACCAAAGTTACCAAAAATATTAAGAAGTTACAATTCAAAGATGCAGCAACAATTTTCATCTGAATATACAGGTTGTACAGACAGAGGCTGACGTGCAGAACAACATTTTTCTGGCAAGACAACTGTGAAATGAACAGATTTTCTGTTTCAATGAAAGCCGTTTTGACTGCATAGAAGCAGGCACAGCAGCTGAGGACTGTGGTATTTGTGCAAACAGAAACTTCTGTATGGAAGCCTATTCGCATGTGTGATAAGAAGAGATAGCAGCAGGATCACAGAAAAACCACTTACACTGCTTGCTGTAGAGTTAAAAAAAAAGTGGAATGGGAGACACTGTAGAAGTGAGTGTTGAAGTACCACAGACAACATGAAGAACAACAAAACTGCGTTATAAGAAAAGGAGGTGATACTGAATGTTATGAATGCTGTGAATATTACAGTTCTTAAAAAAAGACTGAAACAGAATTAATAGAATAAGGGGATTATGAAGCATATGATACTGTTTTGCCACAATATGTTGTATCCATTACCTTCAGAAAAAAAAAAAAAGAAAGAGGATTCAAGCAAATATATTGTGTTAGGGTAGATCACAAGGAAGAGGTAAGTGGTATGACAGTACAGGCATTTATAATACAGCAGCATTTCAATATTCTACTAGTTTACTGTGTTTCTTTGACTAAAGCCAAGTATGACAAAAGTTAAACTACCCTTACCAAAAACTGTGCATTTTCAAGTGTGTTTTATTTAAGATATGGCCTTGATAGAAAAAACATCTACACCAATGAAAACACACCAAAGTTTTGGAAGAAGTTGTAACTTTTATGTAGTGCCAAATCAACTCATCTTCAAAGACAACTCCTATTTAAGTCTTAATCTAATGAAAAGTTTCCAAATATCGTTCATTCTCTGATTTATCCAAATGAGGGAGAAAGGCAGGGAAAGCTAAAGCAATAGACAGTGTTCGGTTTGTGCTCCATGAGAAAAACAGAATACAAAAAATCCCAGAATCCACTCAGTGAAGAGGAGTTCTTGTAAAGAAGGAAAAATAAAACATCAATTTTAAATCTTACAAGAACGAAGAATGTTATCAAAAATGTTTAAAGACAATGTACTTGTTCACGCCCCCCCCAAATGTAACACATGGTAAAATACCAGTAGACTAATGTAATTGGGCAAAAAAAGCAGAAGACAGTTGATACACAGCCTGTTGTGGTTTAGTATTCTTCAGAAAAGTGACTGGGCATGAATCCACTTTTCAGACAACAGTATGAGCAAGACCTTATTATTTTTGTGTTCCAAAGTCTAACTCATATTCCTCAGTAGCGCTCTCCATCAACGCCTCTTCGACTCAGTAAGTGACTTCAGAGACTACAAAAATGTTTTAAAAACTTATTCTCCCAAAGCATACTGTCAGAATAACTGTACTCATTGCTAAAATGGGACTGCTAAAAAAGAATTAGAAGGACAAATGCTAGGTTAAACTTACTGGTTTGTTGGTCTCAAAGAAACAGCAATGAAAATAGTGTTTTGTAATCTAAAGACACTAAGCTTAGAGCTCTTTCACAATCAGCAAGGAGTTTTAAGGTCTGCTGCTTGGCTTTAAGAAATAAATATTTTAACAGTCGCACTATTTAATTAGAATGTATATAGTATATATGGGTAATTTAGTATGTATATAGTAAAAGCATTTTATTACCTCCTGTGTATTGCTAAGTTACCCATTTGGGGATTCAAACATCAAAACACTTTTAGGAAGCTGCAATTAAGGCTTTCGGCCTCAAAACTACCTTCTGAGATGACTAATACCTTCCATTACTATCTCTTTATTAATATAAACATGTATTTGGTATATCCAGAAGTATGGGGAGAATAGAGCTTTTCATTTTACGGAAGAGGCACTCAAACAGATTTGCAGGACTTTTGTATTTCATCTGTGCTTCCAAAACAGATGTTCCTTAAGCAGAAAGCACTGATGTTAATTCGGTAAGCTATTCTAGTTGGTCTTCTTGTTCACCATCTAATTTGGTAGAGAAAAAAAAAGTGGAGATTTTAAAAGCCGAATTCTGATCTTTAATTTATACCTGCAGAAGTCTAAATTTCAGAAGTTCTTACTCAGTTGCTGCAAAGGGAAAATGTAGCTCTTTGAGGGGAAAAAAGGGGGAAAGCAAAAACATTATATTAGTATTTATAAGACTGATGAGTTCACCCTGCTTTGTCATAGCACTGAAATCATAAGGAAACAATGGATTTTGGCCTTGATAGCAAGTGTGACTCACTACAAAAAAGAATGAGACCAAGCCATCTATATATGGTCACTTTTCCAAATCATAAATGCACCAGATTAACCGGAGAGTAACATGTAGCTCCTTCCAGAATTAAGACAAACCAGCTCATGATTTCTGCAGCTGGCATCTGCAACATACATACAGACTTTTCAAAGTCACTTAAATATAGGAATCGGCTTGTTAGCCTAGAAAGGCATAGGTATTAGTGGCTCTCTAGGCGACACTAGCATCAAGTATCACAAACAGCTTAGCATACAAGGCATATTTGTGCTCACAGAGGTATGTTAATAACGCATTCTAGCAATTCTGAGTATTAGAACAGTTGACTCTAGTTCACTCGGAACTTGAAAGGGTTTCTAATTCCTCCTACAGCAGTGTTTTCACTATTTGGTCTATAAAAGACTTTATCATTGAGACAACTGGCTTTGGACCAAACACACTGATCCTAAGAGGAAAGAAAAAAAAAGAACAAAATTCCTTTTAGAACAAGACACACAACTTCTTACCTTGCTAGACCATTTCCGGGCTTCATCATGCAACTGCCTAGCAGCCATCATCATGGGCTGATTGATAGCTTCTCCTGCTTTCTGCTCTGGGAACTCTTCATCCTTTTCTTCAGGTGGTGGTGGTCTGGGCGGAGGAACCTCACCTTCTGGGAGTGGTGGTTTTGGAGGAGCAAGCTCATCAGTCAGCTAAGAAAGGCAAAAATCTTATTTGAACACAGACTGATTAATGGATGGTGTCATGGCAAGACATGATTGCATAAGCTCATGCCATTTTTCAAGTGCACCCTGTTAAAGGAAATACCATGTTTTAATCTCTTCTTTTGAAAGCCAGATCGGTATTTTTTAGACTTAAGGCTACTTGTATGAATGGCTGGCCAGACAATGCAATTTATTTCTAAGGAATAAAAGCACACTCAAGAAAATTTCAGTGTGCAGTCCACACGTTGCCAGTGACAACTGTGTATTGTATTACAAACTATGCTGCACTTACATGAAGCTGCTCAAGGTCAGGAGGAGGAGGGGGAAAATCTGGCTCCTGAGGCTGGAATGCTTCTCTGACTTTGGCCACAGCTCCCAGAATTCTGTATCCAGAATCCAAGAAACTCTTCTGCAAACCTGAAAAAAAGTCCCGTTACCAGTTTAATAGCATTCTGCAATATTCCTAACTATAACACTACCCCAAAAAATTACTTCTCTAAGGTACTGTGCCAAGTACACTTATATCAGGGGAAAAAAGATGTTTAAAAACTACCAAATTGTTTACAGTGGATTTACATGTTTGAAATGTCAATGTCACATGCAACATGCATAAAATAAAGCCTAAGTTGAGTAATACTCACTATCAATAGCCAAAGTAATTCCCAAAACAACTTTTAGAATAAAAAAAAATTATGTAATATTTTCTTATATAAAGTAGTAGTACTGACAACTAGTAACAAGTACTTCTAATAAAGATTATGAAATCACATAACAAACTAGAATGCTGAATCCTTTTCTCTTGAATATGCCAAAGGTCTTTGACTGCATTTTAAAAGAGCAGGATTCAGCAGTTAGTGCTGTGACCTTGACCATTCTGGGATTTCTGTGTACTCAAAATTAGCATAAAAGGGGATACACAGCTGGTACAACACAAAATGAGCACTACTTCACATCATACTCAGCCAGTCAAAAAATACATTTGAAATCAGCTGACTTGAGTCCTTACCAGGATCAGAAATGTTTCCTGCCACAGCTTTAGCATCCATTACCATTGGTGATATAGTTTTGCTTAGTTCATCAGAGGCTGCTTTAACAGCCTCCCGCAATTTTGGGTCTTCTGAATTTTCAACCTCACGTTTTGCTACCAGGAGGATGCGGTTTGCTCGTCTAGCAATACTGGTGGCACCAGCTACCAGCATCTGAGGTTGAATGTTGGCCATTGCAACTTTACATTTATCAAGATCTTTCTTAATAGCCTCTTCAGATGCATCCAACAGAGATTTAGTATCAATGGCTTCATCCACCAACCCTAGAATAAAAGTTAAACGCATTAACATTCTAGTTTCCTCTGTGGAAAGAAATATTTAGTATTCCAGAGAATGTTCACAACCAGAAAAGTAAATATTTCCGAACTGAGGGGTGGGGAGGGGCAGAAGTGGGCACTGAAATCAGACTAAACGTATTACTGCAATTTTACTTCAGACTATGTGATACCTCTATCACAGCAACCATGGTCAAGCTTGCTCCCACTAATGACATCCCAAGCTCTTACTCATCTACCGTGGAATGTTGCTTGAGTCAAGAACTGGCTTAGACAGTATATGCTGCAGAGATTCCTTTGACCCACTGAGTTTCCTGAAGCATGAAGAAGTACTGAAGAGCTACTTTTGTACCTCTCCCATTCATTCAAAAGGAAATATCTGTCTGGCTGTGCTTTTACTTCAGGGTGATACATAATGACAAGTCAGTAAGATTTAAAATGTCCACAATTTAATTATGGGGATGGAGAATGAGGTAGTACACAGTCAGGATATTAGCAGATGAGTGCAAAGGATCTGCACTTTGGAAGGTATGAAACATTTAAGTGTCTCAGCAAGATTCAGTAGATCAGTAGCTTTGTTTTATTCACTGCTTTCATCAAGCTGTTACATCATTTTGAACACGTTTTCTTACCTCCACTTAATTATCTGTCCTCATTCAACATGCCAAGATTATGCAGAAAAAAGATCTCAAATTACTACAGTGATATACCGCTAGAATAGCAATCGCAAAAAAGTAATGGTATTCTGTTTTGCCCATAGAAGAACTAAAGCCAAATTTGCTCCCCTGCAGCTCAAAATTAACACATATGAAGCAGGCTATATTGTTTATGCTGTAACATATACATATTTCTGCAGTCAGAGAGCACATTCCCACTTCTCTTTATTTTTAATCAGTCATTACTCTTACACGTTTCATCAATCCAAACAGAATGGGGAAAAAATCTATACCAGCTAGTTAGTCCCAAGTATAATCTTCAACAAAAAAAAAAATCCTAATGTACCTGTCATTTTTTCTATATTATCAATCCATTGGTTTTTCATAGTCTCAAAATGTTCATAAGCAGCTTGATTTCCAGGATTTCTCAGGAGTATACGAGCAGCTGATACTACCTGCCAATTGAAAACATTTTTAATTACTAAAGTATCAGTATATAGCACCACCACACGTATTCTTGAAAATGCATTTGTTTTTTCAGGACTGGATGTGGAGCGCCTCATTTGGAACACTAGTTCATTAATTCTAGTTCAATATCTAGCTGCTTGAAGATTTATAATGCTTCTGGAATTCATCAACACAAATACTTTTTTTCCTGGAACTTCAATTGCATGCTAATATGTCTTAAAAACACTTCTTGAAAGTACTAAAGTACAATCCTTACCAAGCTACCAAAATAGATTAAGGTTTAATCTGGAAAAAATTCATTAAAGAGCATTTTTTGCACTCACATATTTTACTAAGCTTCAAAGTACTTTTGCTTCAAGGATAAGTCACTACACTTCCGTCCAAAAGTTGAAAAGTAAGACATGTAATTAGTTTGTTCAACTTGGTATCATATACCCAAATATTTGCTCTTCCCCTTAAAAGAGTGTCAGCACTATGTTCCTTGCTGGTATTAACATCTTTCTCTGAGAAGAGAAGCATAAAGAAAATTCCACAGAGGTCACCCCCAGCCCTTTTAATAGCCCTTCAAGCCTAAGGAAGCAAACCTGTGGGGTAAGTTCCCTTGCTGATTTCACCGTTGCCTGAATGCCCTCCACAGTAGTTTTATTTGCAGTTCCAACTGCGGCTGCTTTTTCTGCTGTAGCTCCCAGTCTAGCAGCATGGTTTTCAAAGTTTGCTGCTCTTTCATCAAACACCTAGTTGTCAGAAGAGAAAAACCATTAATAAAGCCTAACTTCTCTAATAGAACACACAATTTCTTCGAAGTGTCAAATACCAGAAACACCTTCGTAACATCCAGACTTAATTGATCTCCCGAGAGGTTGCAAAAGGACACAAAAGCTTTGAAGCTGTTTTATTTTTTTAATATTTACATTACTGGACTTCCTTCTTTACTAACTCATTTAGGCAACAAAGAATACTACCATACTTTATAGCTTTAGGTATTAATTACACTAATTTCTGATGACTGCTGCTGTAACAAATACTGTGTTAAAACTATCTTAGCTCATTAAGGTTAATCTTCAAACCCATAATCCAAAAGTAACTATATTTGGAAAATAAATATGGGATTTTACCCTAAAAATTGAAGGTTCTCATTGGAAAAAAATTCCCTCCTTCCACCATCCTTGTTTATTCAAGGCATGGAATACTTTGACAAAAAGCTACCCTGTCATAAAACTAAATTCCCCAAGGCCTTGGGAATCATTTTGATCATGTTCAAATCAACTAGCCAAACAGAGCTGCTAGACACAAAGTTTTAAATACTTCATATGCAGCCATTAGCTTTGAAGTACAGGAAACATTATCCAGCAAGAGAAGAGGTTAGATCTGTTGATCAATCTTCGCATGAATTTGACTACTTTGATCAGCTTATATGATGTAGAGATATACAATCCACTAACTAGTGTGTCAGTGATCTTTGCACAAGAATTTGTAGCATGCTGAAGACAACACGGTACAAACATCACAGGGAGAAGTCTTTGCCATTGATTGAAGTCAGGGACAATACAGTTTTCAGGGATATACAGCACAATTTGCAATCTCCAAGAGTCCAGAGAGATTTGCATGGCAATCATTACGCTGTCAGAATTAATAAGCACGTATCACAAGATTGAGGAAAAAATACCAATTCATTTTTCAAAATACCAATTCAGGTAAATGAAACAGTAACTGAAGCTTCACATGGGAAAAAGACCACCTGGGTATACTTGCCTCATCTCTATTGGGAGCATCAGAGGGGGCAGTGGCTGCTACTGCTAACAATTTAATAGGAGTTGTGGTGTCACTAAAAACATCAGAAACCTCCTGGGTCATTGCCTCTTGCATCCGTGTTTTAAGATCCTTAAAGAAAAAAGGAAAATTATTAGCGTATGATACAGGAATATTAAGTTTGTAGGTATTCAAATCCCACAAAACCTCTTCTTGCAAAAAAAAAAACCACACACCCCCAAAAAACCCTATTACAATGGCAGCCATTAAGATAAAATGATCTTAAAGGCACAATCAATGAACCACTTTTTACATAATTTGAAATATAAGAAGCTTACATATCACTCCTTGAAGCAGCATCAGAAGCTATGAACAGTATGATTTGAGACCTTGCCCCTCAAATTTGCAATGCTAGCATACTATTTTCTTTTAAAATAAGACTTTCATTTTACTTCTAAATTGTCATTTGAAACTAATCCCTACAGCATGATATCAAGGCCTTTATAGAAAGTTCGCTTTAAGCATCTCAGCTAAACCAAGAGGGTTTTTGCTGCACTTTTATTTTTATTGATGCCTCCCACACACAAGCACTTTATCAGAGGAGTGCAAATGCTTCAGCATATCATGTGTTTCACCACACAAGAGCAGATTTTTACCTTCAGTGAGTCCTGAAGCTGAGCAGCAATTGCCCTGGCCTGAGGAGATTCTCCCTCCCCTCTTGCGGCGAGATCAGCTAGCTGAGCAGCCAGTTGGTCTACACGGTCACATTTGGCAAGCAGGTCTTGACGATAAGGTCCCATCATAACATTGGCTAAACGACGACCTTCTGCAACCAGACCCCGAATTGCTGCCTGGCCTACAGTGGAAGTAGTCATGTTGCATTAACATACAGCGGAAGAAAAAACTGAAAGCATAAATCAGATGCACCATGAAATAAGTGACACTTCAGAATTCTTGGGTTTTTAAGAACACCTTTCTAGGTAGTGAAAGGATCTTCTGCAGTTTATCATTGAGCAATTGCAGTTCAAACCCATACTGGAATTCAACTCTCACCAGTTTCTTTTTGCAATTACTTTTTGCAAGAGCTCTGGCTAGAGATGCATCCTTTTTAACTAGGGTGGTCTGACAGATTAACCATTACAGCTCTCAGGTATGCCTACATAACTAATCTGTTGACTTCAATAGAAAGGACTCGCAAATTCCAAGTACTGCAATGCATCTCCACATCATTACAAGCCATTAGAAGATGAGCAGGAAGAAGGGGAGAAAAGCCAAGTAAAAAGCATAAATGAAAACACAGAACATCCTCTCCTAGGATTCCAGAAATCATGGGTAAGTGTCAAGTGGCCAGGATGGGGGGAGGGCAGAACCCACACTTTACAAAGCCTCCACAGTGCATCAAAACTTTTTCTGTAAAAAAAGTTATTTTTAGCGTGGGTGATTTCCTGCATTCACTTACAGAAGCTTCCTGTTCTTTCACAAGAATATGCTCCTCCGTTCTTTCAATAATACAATAGTATTCTTCTTTTAAAAGAAGTCATCATATATTAAGTCCTTTAAAGACCCACTGAAGAATCATTTTAAGCCAATGCTAACAGACAAGTAATCCAAGTTCATGATCAAGCTCAAAATTACTTAGAAGGAAGTTGTCACAGGACCTGACTATTCAGGAATCACTCAGCACTACCATCATAATTTTAGAAAGCTTATTAGTGTAGCTAAGTTTGGTGCTGTTGGAATGTCCCAAGATGGTTTTAAACTGTTGCTTTGCGTAAGTCAAAAGCAGCCAAGCAAGTACACTTCACACACCAGTTAAGTATTTCAAATACATCTTGCCTAGTTTGTATCTGCCAATTACAATTACTTTAGCCATCACTCAGCTAGGATAAATTCGTAAGATGACTGCATGTAAATATTTGTAGCAGCTAACACTACTGAAGTGGCTCACGTGTTTATAAAATAAAATACACATTCTGCCTTGTTACTTCAAAACTTAGTTTGTCTTGAAGCACTACCCTGCGATAACTGCAAACACAGAGTTATTTGTGACATGGTCATTACTACTACAGAGAACACTGAAGTATTTTCACATTATCATAGCACTGAAAATATCAGGCCAAATTCTACCAGAAGTGCTGTACAGACTGAAGAGAGCACCTATCTGATTCATATTCTTAGTATACCTTTCTTATAAGCACCCTGCCAAGTGCCAATGCAAGTGAAAGACATTTAAATGAAAAAAAAATCATATGATGACATCATGTTACAACTTGAATTTTTTTATTAAACTGGAAACATTAAAGTTATGGGACACGCCACATTTTGCATCTCGCATCTCTACACACATTTTTATCATCTATATTACTCCAGCAATTGATTAAATTCTGTAGTATATATCCAGTGTTGAGAAACTTCAGTTCCTTCAGCAAGCTTTCAGTATGTATGCAAGCCTCATGATTAACTAGGCACTTACAGATTTCAGGGAGGATTTAAGTTACCTTTGTTTCTTTTGTTTTGTGCTTTTTTGAGCCAATCACCTCACAGGTTACTATGTTCAAGAGAAACATCAAAATTAGGAAGGTTTTCAGCCACTGCCAAAACATCTCATAAGACTTATCTACCACCTTCTTGGCCATCTGATTCTGTGTGCAATTTGCTCATCAGAAAGTGTCAAAACATGGAACTCCACTATTCTGTTTAAAATACTGCATATAATTTGCACTTCACAAGCATCCAAGCTATGAACATCACTAAATCTTTAATTTAAGGATCCGTCATTGGTTATTCACACAACAGAAGTTATCTTGACAGACAGGGAAAGGTGTGAGAAAGACGTATTAAAGGTTTGCAGTAATACTATTTATAAGGCATGTTTCCACTCGTCGTTATTAGTTGCACTGCTTAGACATAACTGCACTACTTAGACTTAACTGCTATAGAAAAAAACTACTGAATCCAGTTTTCAAGCTTCATCTACCTACTTGCAATAGCATCAGACGCAGCTGAACAACAGATTCAGAAATGGTTTACAATAAACTCTCAGTAGAGCAACTCCTGAACCATAATCATATGCTCACTGATAGCATGCTTGGATTATCAGATCACCTTTCTCTTTAAGCAGCATTCTCCTCAGATAACCAGAAACCATAAGAGAAGTGATATTTTTAGGTCAGGTTTATGAATGTTTTTCTCCTCTCTGAAGGACTTAATTACTTAACTTGCTGCAGTAGGTATAAATTCAAATTTGAGATACTATATTTGCATGATAATAAGAGCAAGGAGCAGTCTAAAGCTTCTGTTCTGCAGCATGCATTCTCCTATTCTTTGCCAAAATTTTTCTTTCCAGAAGACAAAGAGAATCATGGGCCAGCTTGATTCAATAATGTTGCAGCCAGGACTTGGCTATAAACCTCCAGCCACAAACTGCAGGTCTCCACATCAGTGAAGAGATTCCACGCTTCCTCAGCATCTCAGGAGCAGGAGTTTCAGTCACAAAAATTACTAACAAATTTAACCATAAAACTGTGGTGGGAAGAGCACACAGAAACACTTACCTACTCCGCGATCAGCAACTGTAGGATTGTCTATCCACCTTTGAGCTTGCTCAATCTTGCCCTCCAAATGGACAGCTGCTTTAACTGGCCTAGTATTTGCTACAGCCCTGTTTGTTTTGGACTGTAAATTCTGAAGTGATGTGGCTATTTGCTTAGCCAATGCACGGGCCTCAGGAGAGTCACCTTTCCCACTAAGGATTAAAAAAAAGTTTAGTCATATAAAGATCATTTACAGCTAGTCCCAAATTCAGCAGGAAGACACAACGAAATGAAAGGTACTTAATCTTTTTAAGGAAGGTTAAATTTGACACTTGAGTCTCAGAGCAAATAATGCAGATCTATCATCCATAAATCCCCACCTCACACTGCTCTGGTGCCTGGATATTACATATGTTCAACACAGCACTGATGTGAGGGAAGGCATGGTATTGTCATTGATAATACTGATCTACGACTTTGATTTCCCATACTTATGGCTGTCTTACAAGCAACTGTGTGTGCAATAATGCCACACATTACAAGCAGAAAAGTAAGCATCAACAGATCCAAGGCTATATATAAACTTGAAAATAGGAGGCACATTAAGACCTGCAGCAGCTAAAATCTCAAGAAAAACTTAAAGTGTCTAATGAAGAAAGAAAAATATTTATCTCCACATCACAACTTGCCCTAGATGAAGATCACAGTTTATACAAAAACTGTTTCTCCGCTTCCGTTCTCAAGCATCCTCTTTGCAAAACTGATATAGAAATACCATTTCCAAAAGTCTTAACTTTTATATACTTTGCAGTTACAGCTTTCACATTATCTTGTTCCTTTGAAGTGCTTTGACAGTACAAAGGAGCTCACTTTTGGCTTCGGTTTGCCTGTCAAATATTCCATAAGCAGTAGAAAGAAAATATTTTCTAGGCGATACAACTTTAATTACACTTTTTTTTTTTTTTTTTTTGAGGAAGATGGTGCCAGTTGAGCTTTGGGATAGAAATCATTAGGTTGAAGCATGAAAAAGGATACCATATTTTATAAACTTTCAAAAAGATGATAGAAAGTTGGTTTTTTTCCCCGCCTAGGAACTGAACAGTTCTTTACATTCAATTTTTACTAAGTGCAGGATAGAAACTCAGAAGTATAAGATGTCAATTCCTAGCTCTTGGAGGAAAATGTATTCTCCAATTAATCATCAATATTCTGATTTTTCTCAGCACTTTGAACTGCAAATGAAAGTCATTCAAATAAATTATTGGTGATAAAACTAATACGTACTGTCGTCGTAGATCTGACAGCTTAGCTGTCAAAGCAGAGATTTCCCCCAAGGAACGAAGGATATCATCTCTTTCTTTAGGCTCCTCACATAATTCTGCAACTTTCCTTGCTTCAGCCATAATTCCCCGAATATGTTCTTCTCCTTCACTGCCCCCATTAGGATCTGCAAGCCAGTTCTTAATAGAAAGAAGTTGTGTACGAGTGAAGATAAACAGTAATATTATTTCTATAGAGACATTTAAACAAAAAGAAATACCAATACAGCTTTCAAAACTTTATTTAACAGAAAATACTTTTCAAAAGCAATTTCTATTTATTAGATACCACGAAGGTGTTCTGTTGTGTGGCACATTTTCTGTTTTGAAAAAGATGTCAAACTACATGAAATCTACCCAAGATTTTACATTCTCTCTCTCCCCAACATTTGCCAACCATGTTTTCAGAAGTAAAATTTAACTGGTGGCTTTAGAGACTCATAATCTGGCTTTCAGAAAAAAAATGAAAACAGATGCTCTTGTGCACAGTGTGGCACCCTTTACAGATCTCTTCCTAAAAAGTCTCATTATCACTTCGTTTGATATATATAATATTAATGTATATCTCTCTATATATTTATAGACACATACACACATTTAGATAAGGTATATATAGAAGGTTCATTATTTGATGACCATCATCACTGGGTAATAGACTGACCATTAAGGGAGACTAAGAGTTACAAAAACAAAGGATCAACTAAAAAAAAAAATAGTTTCATTAACATTGTTCTGCTTTTGTCACAAATATGAAGTTCTACATCCTGAACTACACTCGCAAAACAGAGCCCAAGGAAAGGGCTCTGGTTTCACCTGCAGGTAAATCTGTGCAGTTCGCAACTCTTCTATTCTTTTTTTAAGACCAGTTTATGTCAAAATTTATGGTGTTTCCTCATTTTAATTTCATAACCTTGAAATTTTTAGCAATGCTAAAAAAAAAAAACATGAAAAAAAAGTCGTAAGCTGTGCCAAAACTCCCAGCACCCTGTAAATCACTGAATTTAAGATTTTTCTTTGTAAAAACACCTATCCCCTGTATGTTCTTCCTAACAAGTAACTGTGTGGTGTTTGGAAACAACTACAATAGTTCAGTATAACAGTTCTAACAGCAGTAACGTCATCATGTTCTGAAGTACTTATTAAATCATTAGTGGTACCTGAGCAGCATCAATCTTCTTAGCAATTGCCTGCTTAGAGTTTGTCATGGCCTCCAATTTGCGGGCTGCATTCTCCACTTTTGCAGTGAGCAAATCCAGACCTTGTGACACCTGCTGTGCTTTCTGCATAGCCATGGGTGTAGCACCCTGTCCTCTGTCCAAGACAAAGAGAGCATCACAGATTCAGCTCAGGATTGGGCAAAACTCTTTTCTAATGAAGAGACAACAAAAACTGTTTATGAGCATTCCCAGCAATTATTACAAGACATACAGTATGTAATCAGATTTTTTTTCCCCCCCTGGGGAAAAAAAAGATAACTGAGGAGGAATACCACAACAAGAAGAGTTTAAAACTAAGGGCATATTTCCCCCTTTCCAGAATTTGACATCTAGCATCCTCTGAAGAATGAACATTTTTAAAGTGTCAGAAAGTAAGGCTATTTGAAGATACAGGTTCATTAAGTACCCAGGGCAAGGCCTGTTATCTCCTCACTTATAGATTGCTGTAAGTCAGTCAGAACCTGCAGGAGTTATGTCTCGCCATACCCAAGTGAGGACAGCAAGTCTGTAAGTGAAAATAAGATGTCTCAGTTGCCTCAGTCATGTTGACAAAGTAGATTAACGGTTATGGGATATTGGTAAGACTTCTTAAAATGGTGAAAAGGATGCCAGCAATACAAATTCACAGGACTGTAGAAAACAATTTGCAGAACTACCACTGTTTGTTCAAATGTTTAGAAGTTAAAAGCTAGTTATAAAGATTGCTTCAAATACATATGCCTGAAAAGGTTAGTTTTGCATAAGAAATCTCATACTCCATTCCAAAATAACCTGACTACTGGAAAGCTTTTTGAGCATGTTAACTTTATCAAACTACTAACTTTAAAAAGACCATAGTAAGTGGAAGGATGACAAGCATGCTACTGAGATGCTAAGTTATATTTACATAGTCAGGCCAGAGTCTCAAGATTTGTTTCTTTATACCTTATTTCTTACAGGCATAGTTGAAGTTATTTACATATTAAACTGGCATATAAATTAACTCATTTGTTAGTATATCAGTCCTGTCTCTTCCTCCACCATGAAAAGTTTCACACAACACAAAGCTGACACCAGCCACTGCTTTACAAGAAGAGTAAGAGTTTAGCCTAATTTCTAAGGCCCTCTGCAAAGACTGGTACAAAGAAGCTCTTACATTGTCTCAGGTCAATCAGCTGGAAATCCAAGTGAAGATAAACTAAAACCAGCTTCTCATTCATTACCACCATTATAGCTAATATACATCACTTGAATAACAATATAACCAGTATCTCCAAATTTTGGTCTTTTTAGCCTTTATGTAGCAAACTAACAACTCTTCATGGAAATAATTTATAGAACTATTCCAAGCTTGCGTACATATCATTGCAACACTCCAGAGCCTGGCAAGTCTATGAATTTAAAGTGATGGCAGGGAATTTGCTCTTAAGGTAACTCAAACCACAATTCTCCAAATAATTTGCATTTGCTCACTTCCTATACTTTACTAGGGCCTTAAGTCAGAGAAGGCACTTATTTTAGCTAAAAGCTTGCCTTTTTTTTTTTTTAAATAAAAAACTCCTAATTTGTATTGCTTTTTTGGACAATCTGAAAGGTGGATTAACATTTAGGGGAAAATATTGTACCACAAAACCATTACCTGTATCCCTAATGGATCATAATTAATAGCTTCCTGGGGTTTCTGGGTATGGTATTTTTGGAGGATGGAGAGGAGTGTTACAACAAAATAAAGAAACTAATGTTACAGCACTCTAACTTAATGATTTAGTACATTGATAAGCAGCTGAAAAATTCCTTATACTCAAAGGAAGCTGGGTTATAGTGTTCAAACTAAATGGAATAGTTATTTCTTAGCTCATTATCTTTATGCCTTTACAAAGGAATATCATACTTCCTACTTTCTGGCTAAAGAACAAGAGGCTATAGTACCTAACATCAAAAAACCATAGTAAATTTAAAGAGACTCTGCTGCTGCCTAAAAACAAAACCCCTTAGATTCAAAACACCATTGTGAAAGAATAACCAATTTCTAATGAGGAGGCAGAAAACTGATAAAGGGCTCTGGTTAAATAAGACTCTATGCAAAAAACATACATGAAGTTCAGCAGAATTTATCAGTGACTGATAAACAACTTCAACAACTACTGCCTGTGGTCTAACACCCCAATAAACACCCAAAAACTTGAATATTCATGTATGTATCTTACAGTCATTGGCGTATATCCTCTTTGGAGGACAGACTTACAGTAGAATTTAAAATTTCATTTCTGCCTAATTTGGAGGAAGGTTGCATGTTTGACATTAAACAAACTCTGAATTATCTACCTGAGCAATATTGCTCATTATGTTATATAATTAAGATTTCACATATTAAAACATATTATTCTCATCAAAAGAGACTGAAGTAAAAAAGGCAAAATACAGCTACTGGCCTGCTCTCCTACAGGTTAGGAAGTGACACAACTGTAAGTTCAGAAAAACTGTTTTCATAGTACTGGAAAACTGCCATTAAAAGTAATAGATTTACCTAGCTCGGAGGTCAGCCAGTTGATCAGTCATCTGGCCCAGTGTCTTGCAAGTTCCCAGAATCTCTCTGCGTTCTTTGCCTGCACACAGTTCTCCTGCTTTTCCAGCTTCATCAAGGATCTGCCTTATTGCTTGCTCACCAGCATCCCCTAAGGTGCAGAGTCAGTTAGTAAACAGATAATTGTAACGGGATAGTATTTCTGAAACAATATAGCATAACATTAATGTGCATCATGTGCCATGTATTTCAACTCATTTAATCATTCTGTTATCTGTCCTGGTTTCGGCTGGGATAGAATTAATTTTCTTCCTAGTAGCTGGTACAGTGCTGTGTTTTGGGATTTAGTGTGAGAATAATGTTGATAACACGCTGATGTTGTAGTTGTTGCTAAGTAGCACTTACTCTAAGTCAAGGACTTTTCAGTTTCCCATGCTCTGCCAACGAGGAGGTGCACAAGAAGCTGGGAGGAAGCACAGGCAGGACAGCTGACCCAAAGTAGCCAAAGGGATATTCCATATCATAGAACGTCATGCTCAGTAGAGAAAACTGGGGGGAGTTGGCCGGAAGGCATCGATCACTGCTTGGGGACTGGCTGGGCATCGGTCAGCGAGTGGTGAGCAATTGTATCGTGCATCACCTGGTTTTCTTGGGTTTGATTTCTCTCTCTCTCTCTGATATCTCCCTTTTCATTACTATTATTATTA